AGAAGACGAGAGACTAGGTATAAAGTCATCATCATCATCATCCTCACAACTAAAAACAGTTTGGCTAGACACTTCTAGTGAGTCCACACACTGAGAAGGGCCCGGGGGAGACTCCACGCAACGAGTATCAGGTAGACGGCTGCCAGAAGGCTTCTTCGCTACATTACTACAAGTCTCCATCGAAGAAGGAATACAACCATGACAGACACGATCATTCTTAGTACAGGGACACCTCAAACAGCGACTCTGCTTCCCACAAGGACAACAAGCTTCTTCCGCCATTTTGACACGTGGTACATCATGGTTTTTTTCAAAAAATGGTTCCAAAATCACCAAAAATTGTATTACATTTTCTGATACATACTGATGTCCATATGCCATGTAGAAAGTTTGAGCTAATTCCGACTTCAATTTTTTGAGTTATGGCCATTTTAAAAATTGAGCCAAAATCTGAAAAATACCAAAGGCTATATATAGCACATGGTTTTTTCCAAAAAATGGCTCCAAAATCACCCCAAATTTTTATTACATTTTTTGATACATATTGATGTCCTTATGCTACGTAGCAAGTTTGAGCTAATTCTGACTTCAATTTTTCGAGTTATGGCCATTTAAAAAATGAGCCAAAATCTAAAAAATACCCAAGGCTATATATAGCACATGGTTTTTTTCAAAAAATGGCTCCAAAATCACCAGAAATTTTTATTAAATTTATGATACATATTGATGTCCTTATGCTGTGTAGAAAGTTTGAGCTAATTCCGACTTCAATTTTTTGAGTTACGGCCATTTTATGAAAACACCAAAATTTTGAAAAATACCCAAGGCTATAACACATGGTTTTTTCCAGAAAATGGCTCCGAAATCACCAAAAATTTTTATTACATTTTCTGATACATACTGATGTCCATATGCTGTGTAGAAAGTTTGAGCTGATTCTGACTTCAATTTTTCAAGTTACGGCCATTTTAAAAAAATGAGCCAAAATCTAAAAAATATCCAAGGCTATAGCACATGGTTTTTTTTCCAAAAAAATGGCTCCAAAATTACCCCAAATTTTTATTACATTTTCTAATACATATTGACATCCTTGTGCTGTGTAGCAAGTTTGAGCTGATTCCGAGTAAAAATTTCTGCGTTACAGCCATTTGAAAAAATATTGCAATACCCATGTACATACACGTGTGATTGATGATTAATGGAAACTACATGTAACTTTAAACCTTTGGAAGCTTCATCCCAGCCCTATAGCTTATCATTTCTATTCTTCCAATATACTCAAAAATGTGGGCACAAGATCTAAATAAATAAGTAAATACCATTATTACTATTATTACTATTATTATTATTATTTCTTACTCGAGGACATCAAAGAAAGCTGATATTTCATTGCTACCATTGTAAGCTCTACCCCCAGCCCCTCCTACTGGTGACCCTATTGGAGAGAGAGTAGGTCCTTGTAAGGAACAGGAGCATCAACACAATCCTGCCACATTGGATGAGAACATCTAGTGAAGAGAATAAATAAACAAAATAAATAAATAAACAAAATTTAAAACATGCATAAGGAAACTGTGTTACAGATCAAACTGTTTGAAATATACAAAATTATGTACATGTACATGTAATACATGTATGTAGTATTACAGTAATCATTGTTAAATCTAGAAATAAATTTTGAGGGACCGATCTAGCAAAAATTGGAAACTTAAGGACCCCTAGGGCTAAATATGAGATACCAAAAGCTGAAAAATGAGAGATTTCTGGAGACTTAGACCAAATATGAGAGACCAAAAGTCTCCTAAACTCCCTCTAGATCTAACAGTGATTATAAGTTATCATTATTGGAGCTTACTGATATTCAAATCTTTAACGACAAATAGAAAGCATATCAATAAATCCCTCATCTCCTGAAGGCTAAAACTACATGCATTAATAGAAACAGGAGCAACAGGAGAGGAGCTGGAACATTAGGATCAGGAGAGGAGCTGGTACATTAGGACCAGGAGAGGAGCTGGTACATTAGGATCAGGAGAGGAGCTGGTACATTAGGATCAGGAGAGAGGGAGAGAGAGAGAGGAGGTTGAGATACCTCACCACCTGGAGACTGATCATCACCAGTAACATTAAGAGGATTAATAGCCTTATATACCAGGGGCCGTCCCGTAATAGGGCGGCTGATTTCTGATAGTGAAGGAGGACCAGTTCCTTCATCAGTATTAGGGGATTCTGAGTCACTGGGCGGAATTAAGGGTGGAGCAGTCCCAGGAGTAGGGAGGAGAGGGACAGAGGGGGTAAGGGGAGGATGTCCCTCTCTTTGTGCAGTTTTGATGAGTGTCTGAGGATTATTGTCAGTAGGGGGAAGAATAGTAGCCCACTGATCCTTTCCTTCTCTTCCTACAAAAGTTAATAGAAAATAATGATAATAAAAAATCATAGTATGTACATGTACATGTATGAGGTTAATGAAATTACATTGTACTGCTGTATAAACATACATGTACATGTACAGCTTCAACTGTTAACTACAAGAGAAGGAGAAGAGAGTACAACCCACCATAGGCTTTTCCAAATAAGTGAGTATAAAAAGGAGAATTACTATAGACAGTTGCCTAATCCATATACATGTACATGTATATATATATAGAATAATCTACACAACCAAGAATTATCATCTCTGATACAGGCCTCTACCCAGGCTGCCCAAAATCCATGATACAGGAATGTATCAAGCCTGATCCTGATTGATATCACTTATGATTCAAAGTAAAATTCTTGGCTGTGTATACAATTCTTGAATGGGTTAACTTATAAACTTAGCCCTGTCTTAAACTACACGTATCAATATAAACAATTAAACATTTCAAACAATGTAAACAAGCAAGGATATACATGCAGGGGCGGATCTAGGGGTGGGCCAGGGTGGGCCAGGCCCACCCAAAAACTTTGTGCAGTACTTTAAAATCAACTTTTTCATGTGGATGACTATGTAAACTGTGAAGCATGACTATGCAAACAATTTTTAAACCACAAAGGAGCTCATTTTAACAGTTTTAATCTTCAAAGTTTTGACTCTGAATGCTGGCCTTGTTGGCCACACCCACTAATTACCACACCCAAATCATCAAGGCCCACCCAAGAATATAATCCTAGATCCACCACTGTATACATGTAGGACAATCAGTAGTAGTAACAGTTAATGAAGTTAACTCCACATGCTGCAATTGTTCTAGTGTCAACTGTAAACCACAACAAAGAACAGGATGACTTAGAGAGGGCAACCCATTAGACTTTTTACAAATAACTGAGTATAAAACGAGAGGGACCTGCAATGTAAAGACATTCAAAGGCAAATGTGCAATGTCAATAACTTAAAATTTTTGAATGGGTTAGCTCAACCCTGTCTTAAACTTTTAATATAAAGATTAAGGAATTAATAGTGCTTGATGATATTCAAAACATTGAAATGATACAATATCATACAATAATTGCCCAAAAATTAAGATATTTCTATTATCCATAAGTTATTAAGCCATGCCCATTACCTTTAATGTTACTAAAACAGCTCAATAAAGCTTTTACTGAGAACAATTATTATCAAAAAGCATTATATTAACCTTCTTTGGCCTCCATATACATGTACATGTACTTCAGCTACTTCATCTGCCTTCCAAAAAGTATAGTTACAAAATAAGTTATAGCCATTTTAAGAAAACGCCAAAATTGTGAAAATACCCCGGCAAGGCCTTGGTTTTTTCAAAAAATGGCTCCAAAATTCCCCCCAAATTTTTATTACACTTTCTGATGTATATTGATGACTTTATGCTATGTAGAAAGTTTGAGACAATTCTGACAAATATTTATCAAGTCATGAGCATTTTTCCAAAATTGCATGTACATGTACATGTACCACCAATTCCACATCAAGGCAAGGTTTCATATATGACACATGTATTTGGCCCGATTTGCTCCAAATTTTAGTAACTAATAGCAAAATTATTTCACAGATACTTTTTTTTTAATGATTATATAACCCTGCTCACGTGACTGCCACGTTGGCCTTAAAAATTTGCTCACTCCGGTAAGGTTCTTCTTCGTAGCTCTGGTGCAAATTAGTGTGTTTTCACGTCCATGGACAAGTTCTTAAAGCTGTTTGATGATGAGCCCACTCATTTGCACTTATCTTGTCACTCTTATCTACCTTCGTCTCCTTTGACAGACGGATCGTCTGCAGCCTCGGTCATCTCTCTCAGCAGTAAGTTTTTTACAGATTCTAAGTTTATCTACATGCACTCCAGGACATTGGTCCAATGA